AAATACGAAGAACCGAAACAAAGGCACAGAGACGAAGGAAGGAAAAATAATTAAGAGAAGTTTTGGGTGGAAAGGGGTAGATAAACAAACAAACTTGAGGAAGATTGCAGAGAAGAATTACAGAGGGCAAACGATATATGAGACGGAAATTTGTGTAGGAAATGCTATAGAAAAAAAAGAAAGAAGAATATATGTTTAAAAAAATAAATAAAAAATAAAAAACAATAAATAAAAAAAATAAAAAAATTAGAAAAATTTTGAAGCCTTAGAGAAAATTCTGAAGGAAAAAAAAAACTTATCAGGAATGAAATTGAAGAAAAAAAAACAAACCAGGAAAATATGAAAGAACCGAATCATCTCAGGAAAATAGAAAAAAGAACAAAATCAAAATTTCGAAGTTTTAGGAAAAAAAAAATAAAACAATTTTTTTTAAGGAAATTTTAAGGCAGAGGGGAAAAATGTTAAGGAAAAGCTCTTTAAGAAAAAATGTTAAGGATTTTTTTTGGAATATACAAAAAAAAAAAAATAATTTGAGGAAAATTTTATGAGGAATGAATTTTTAAGAAAAAAATACTTTGAGGGAAATCTTTATGTAAGAAAATTTGTAAAACAAAAAAAAAAAAAAAAAAAAAAAAAGAAAATGGGAAAATTTATATAGTACAACTTTTCAAGAAAATGCAATTTTGAAAGAAAACCGTCAAAACAGGAAAATTTTACGAAGTTTGCGAGCGGAAAATTAAGGAAAAATTTCAGAAAAATAATCAAGAAAATTAGCAAGAAGGGAAATTATTATATGTACATATATATTACACACTTAAACTTGAATACAAAAAAAAAAAAAAAAAAAAAAAATATACAAAACAAAAAAATTTTATTTATCAACTGTTGGTCACTGTGCCTAACAATTTAGATGGAAATCAACACAGCAACAAACACACAGCATATGCAATACAGGCAACGGCAAAGTGGCGTGATCCAGCGCGTAAACAAACATGCGTGGAAAAGGAATGCATAAACACCGACTAAACACAACAGCGACATACATACAAAAGTATATACATATATACATACACACCAACGCACAAACAAAGGCACAGCATCAGCAATCCAGGCAACGGCAAAGTGGCGTGATCCAGCGCGTAAACAAACAAGCGAGCAAAGGGAAAATGCAAACCAGATACCGTCGGCATATGTACATACATGCATAACTATATGCACCAGCACGAAAACAAAGGCACAGGGCCCAACACTGCGGGCAAAAGCAAGGTGGTACGATCAGGCGCGCAAACAAATTAGCACGCCGCATATGCAAAATGCATTAGGACTAATACGGGGCGACATATGTACATGCATATATACCTGCATACAGCGCACATACAACACACATCAACACACGAACTAGGGCACAGGAGCAGCAGGAAAATGTTGTGATCAGGTGCATTAACGCAACCAACAACACCCAACAAGCCAAAAGACAAAAACGATGTACAGCAACGTAACCCAGCCACTTGTGCCGCGCTTAGATAAAAAGGCGGCCAAGGAAAGGAAAATCAATCACAACATATCATGTCGTCATACAATACCAGCGAAGGAGACGAATACTCCGCCGAATATTTAAGTGACTCCTTACGGGTTAGGTTGAGGAGGATGACGGCACCAGAAACCGAAGGAAGCGAATCCGGGTCAGTGAGCGGCGACGAAACGGAGGTGTTCGGCGAACTAGGCGAAGACAGCGACGATACGGAGGGGTTCGGCGAACTAGAAGAAGACAGCGAGGGTGAAGGGGCGTTGGAAAAAGCCTCCACTCCCATAGTAATCTCCAGCGAAGAAGAAGACGATGAAGATGGCTACCAGCCTAAAAGACGAGGCGAAGTAAATATCACCGCCGAAGACAACCAACGCGCAGGTGAGGGGTACATCGAGTACACCCGCAACGTGGGCATACGCCTACGTA